CAGCCAATGCTTGCGTTTGCCTTACATTACAGAGGAGCCACCAAGCAAAAGAAGAGTGATGAATTCCTAACATGCTGTTTTGTGTCCTGGCTGGCCAGGCTGGGGCTCCAATTCTCACCTCTCCCAAGTAGCCTTCCTCGCCCCCTTTCTAGGTATCATTGGGAGCGCTTCCCTAGTTGAAGTCCCTCTTCTCTAAATGTAGATAGAAAACTTACCAAAATTTGTGTTATAATTTTTCCTTTTATTAAAATTTCTGAAACAGGGTCTCACTGTGTACCCTAGGCTGGTCTTGAGTTCTTAGCAGTCCTGCTTCAGCCTCCCAAATGTTGAAATAGCAGGTACATGCCACTCTTGGGCACAACTTTGTCTCTCTGTCTCTCTGTCTCTCTCTCTCTCTCTCTCTCTCTCTGCCTCTGTCTCTTGTCTCTGTCTCTCTCTCTGCCTCTGTCTCTTGTCTCTGTCTCTGTCTCTGTCTCTGTCTCTGTCTCTGTCTCTGTCTCTGTCTCTGTCTCTGTCTCTGTCTCTGTCTTTCTCTGGTGCTTGGTCTCATTATGCAGCTCGGACTTGCAGTGATCCTTGTTTTCAGCCTACTCAGCGCTAGAGTTCCGGGCTGTGCCACCACCAGCCTGGTGGCTCAGCCTGCTGGGGGGAGGGGGTGGGGGGAGGGGTGGTGGACTGGTGGTGCAGCATGTGGTGCCTGGAGGTGCTTAATCTGCTGAGCTGTCTCGCTGGTAGATAGCTTTTCCTTTTTAAGACAGGGTCTCACTATGCAGTTCAGGCTGGCCTTGAGGTCATTTTGTAGCCCAAGATGGTCTCGAACCTGCAACAATAATCCTTCTGCCTCAGCCTCCTGCATGTTGTGATCACAGTTGTGCGCCACCACGCCTAATTTTCTATTTTTGTGATAGTCTCTTCTATGAATTTGTGAGATCCTTAACACATTCTTTTATTCACTAAAGCTGAGGTTTCCTAATAGCATCTTTTAGTTCAGTCAAGTCAGATACTTGTAAAACTCAGGCCTGGAAGTCATAGTGCTTTTTTTTTTTTCAGTGAAGACTCACAATTTCTTTTTTCCTTTTTTTTTTTAATGTATTTGGTACAGGGGCTCACTATGCAGCTCATACTCACAGTGATCCTCCTGATTTCAGCTTCCCCAGCTCTGGGATTACAGGCGTGGGCTACCACGCCCAGACTCCAAGCAGCAGGGGCGGGGTTGGCACAGCAAGTTTTACCAGGCATTGAACCTTTTACCAGGCATCGAACCGGTCCCTGAGCTAGTCTATGCAGGCGCTTAGAAGACACAATTTGTATGATAAAGCAATCGCTTTACATAGTGAAGCAGGTTTAAAGATGGACATTAAAGGGGCATGTGGCTCAGTAGTTGAGCACTTCTAGTTTGTGAAAGGTCTTGGGTTCTATGCAAGCACTGCAAAACAAACACAAAACAAAAATAAAAACAATGAAAATCACCCCAGCTATTCCTGCTTCAGGATTGGCATTCTTTTTTCTTCTTAGCCCCTGGGCTTTTACAGCCCAGGCTGAAACCAGATAACCTGGGCTAGCTCGGGAGGCTTCGGACTCACAGGACAGGACACACCCCCTCTCTTATCTCTGGGAACTGTAGTCGGAGTGTAAGCAGGTCTTTCTCTAGCTGTTGCTCTGCAGCTCCTGTTTACTTCAATGTGTCCAGACTCAGGTCTGTATTCTGTTGTCTGACATTGGAAGTGCTTTTTTAGCCAGGGAGATGGTTCAGTAGAATAAGCACTTGCTTGGCAAGTGCAAGGGCCTGAGTTCAATCCCTGATTCCACAAAAAAAAAAAAAATATTTGATCCTTTGGTTCATAAGCCTGATGATTGGGTGTTCATGTTTTACAATGCATGAGATGTGCCTCCCTCAAACCTTGTTACGACGTGGGCACATTACCCGTCTGACATGAAAAAAAAAAAGTGCTTTTTTACTTTTCCCACTGGTCTTATTCCCTCATACTAATGTCCTCACTTACCCAAAGAAAATGGCCTGTAATGGCTCAGTGGATTAAAGCGCCTGGAAGCAGGCCCAGGGGCTGGGTTTGATCCCCGGGCCTGCCATGCTGGGCCCGCCATGCTGGCCCCGCCCCTGGAGCATGCTGAGATGGCAACTGAGACTCAGTGTGGTGGCGCACACCTGTAATCCCAGCACTTGGGAGGCTGTAAACAGAAGAATCACTAGAGTCTGATCTAGTAGTGAAACCCTGAACACTCTGTAGACCCTTCCCTAAAATTAAACTTCATTTATTTATTTTTGTTTTAAAAACCAAGCAAGTCTAACAATTTTTTTTTTCTTTTCTTTTTTCTTTCTTTCTTTTTTTTTTTTTTGGTCCTGGAGATTGAACTCAGGACCCTATGCTTGCCAGGCAAGCACTTATTCTACTGAGCTATCTCCCTGGGCCCATCCCCTAAAATTAAAACAAAAAAACCAACAACAACAAAAAGAAAATGACCTGTACATAATAGTGACACCAATCCATGGACATAATCTTTTAATTGATATTAAATGAAAAGACCCATATTATAAACATTTATAGAACACAAACTGTGCTAAGTGTATTCCATTTTTTTGTGTGTGTATACTCTGTATTTCTTTCTTTTTTAGAATATATTTAGTACAGGGTCTGCAGGGTCTTACTACACAGATCAGATCCCAAGCACTGGGATTGCACACGCAGCGCGCCACTGCCCAGTCTGTTTTGTGTCATTTGAACCTCAGTCCCTGCGTCTGCCTAAGCAGGCACTTTAATCTGCTGAACTATCTGGCTGGCTCTATATTTCATATATGTCTTTTTTCCCTTATGGTGCTAGAGAGGGAAGCCAGGGTGTTGTCCATAAGTGTTCTATCCCAGCAGCTCATCTACTTTTAACTCTTAGTAAAGTCACTATTTGAACCTAGATATTAGCTTTGCTGTTTATGAAACTCATCTAACCTGTTGAAATGAGTTTAATGTCTTCTTGTATAAAATCAGGGTATCAGATATTGCCCTGAAGAATTTATGAACATCCTTAATTGTTGATGCTTTGTTTTAATTCATTGTGATGCTAATATTACTACTGTTGCTATAATCATTTGGTTAGAGATCTCTCTATTCCCCCCCACCGCCCGCGCCCAAAGTGCCTACCAATTGGGTTGACAGGGACTTCTTCCCCAAATCCCCACTCCTCTGAGCTCTTCACTGAGCTTCAATACTTACCCAAAGCCTGGAAGACACAGAGTTCTAGGACCTTGCTTCCTAGTTAGCATTGCCCAATTTGTATCTAAATAGGTACTTGTGTCATTGTGTCCTCTTTGTGTCCTACCTCCACAGCAAGACTGGAAACAGAAAAGGTCATAGATGGTGTCTGTTTTTGGTCACAATCAGTCTCTGCTTGGATAGGGAAAATAAGTAGTATTTGTTGAATACACAAACAAATGGCATCTAGACAAAAAGCAGTTCAAAAATTGGGCCAACCTGATTCTGAGCAAACAATTGTGTTCCCTCCAAGCCTCAGTTTTTTCTTTGGAGACAGGGTCTCACTATGTAGCCCAGGCTGCTCTCGAACTTGCAGCAATCCTCTTGCCTCAGCCTGCCCAGTGCTAGGATACAGGTGTGCCCGACCGCCTCCTGCTTGACCTCCAGGGTTTAAAAAAAAAAAAAAAATTTTTTTTTAATTGAGAAATAAATATGAATGAGACAGTTTCACAGCTGACTTAAAATGGCAGAAGGATTTTTTTTTTTTTTTTTTTTTTTTTTGGCTCCGAATGACCTCAGGGCAGGTTTGGCCTGCTTGAGTTGTGGGGATCAAACCACAGCAACCTGAGCCTGTCGAAGGGGCCACTTTAAGAACTGAGCTAAGGGGCAGGCCCCCAGGGGTTTTTTGTTTGTTTGTTTTGTTTTTTGTCCCCCCCTTCCCCCTTCTCCTTCTTCTCCCCCCTCCTTCTCCCTCTCCCCCATTGAACTCAGACCCTTGCGCTTTGCTATTATTCTATTGAGCCATCTCCCCGCCCCCAAGCATCAGTTTTTTTTTTCCATTAGCAGATATCTCTTTTTTTTTTCTTTTTTTTAATTTTATTGAGAAAGAACTAGCAATGAGACATTGTCAAAACAGGTTAGTAGGACAGTTACAATAATTAATGCATTGCATATTGTCTTCATAATAGTTATTCATAGTACAAACTGCAGACATAATATCTTGTCTAAACACTATTAGTTCAAAACTTTCTTCTCATTGAACTAAGAGGAAGTAGCTGTATAGCTGTGCTATTTTGTATAAAGCATCAGTTTTATAGGCAATAAAATGGTGTCATTCTCTCAGCAAAGCTGTACTGAGAAGCTAGATGGCCGGGCGTGGTGGTGCAAGTCTATAATCCCAGCAATCAGGAGGCTGAGGCAGGAGTGCTGTGAGTTTTGAGGCCGTCCTGATCAAAACAAAACAAGACAAAACAGCTCAATCAAAACAAAAACAACAAAACAACAATAAAATAAAAAACTACACACAGGCACTGGGAAATGGCCCAGGCACGAATAAGGTGCTTGTTTCCTTGTATTAATGAGAAGGCAGACAGTTGAAGGTATAGACAAACACGATTTTATGTAGAACCAAGAAAAAATAATCCGTGAGATTGTACAGGTGCATTACCGACAGAACATGTTTCTGAGGTGACTTTTAAATCTCTTCCCAAATCGCATATCAAGTATCTTTGCCCAATAACCCATTGTAGCGGAAGTTCATTATAAACCAATTTCCTTTTAGCTATTGCTACTGAGACCTAGTAACTGGGCCTCAGCTTCCAGTCGGATCGCAAGCTGCGTTCGCGGGTGGTCATTGGCCGCAGCCTACCACGTGTCCAGTCGCCGGGACAGCCGGCTCCTCTCTCCGCTGTCCATCAACGGCTGGGCTCCGCCCTCCCGCCCACGGCCCGGACCCTCCCTATAAAAGGAGCAGTCGGGCAATGACGAGCCTATACGTAGGCACGTCACGAGGGAGGGTGCGTGTGAGGTCATCGCGCGTTCGGGCGGGCGGGGTCTGGCGGTTTGAACGAGACGAAGACGGAACCGGAGCCGGGCGCGGGCAGTAGAAGCGGTTCCCCTGAGAGCCGGTGAGCCGGTAGCGGGAATGGGGCGGCGGTAGTGGGGGCGGCCGTGTGTGCCTCAGCTGGGCAGGCGCGGACACCGAGGGGCAGCTCGTGTGGGGTTGCAGTTTGGGCCGGGTGGGGGGAAGGGCGGGGCCGTGACCCGGCGCGCGCGAGCTGCCCCGGGGGGTGCGCGCTGCGCCCCGCTGGGGGGCGGGACCTGGGGCCGGAAGTAGGGGCTACCCCGAGGCGGCGTGGGGGCTTCTGGGCAGCCGCTGTGGAACTCGCGTTCTGGCCGTGGGAGGTCCCGGAGCAGCTGGATCCAGGAGGGGTGTGGGTAGGGGAAATGGGCCTTGCGGAGGGCTCTGGGAACCCGCAGTGTGGAAGGCAGTGTTGCCTCATGGATGAAGTTCAAGTTGGAAATTCAGATCTCAGTTCAGTTCCCTGATGGGCGACCTTGGAGGCAGGTGCTTTTTACTGGACCTCAGCTTCCGCATCTGTAAAATGGGAATATACACAAAAGGTTGAGGGCAGTTCTTGGAAAATGTAAGCTAGCTGTTTGGACGTCTTTTCGTCAATGCTTGTCTGGTGTTGAATACCTACTAGATGCTAGGCCCTGTGCTAAGCGGTGCTCCTCCTTAGCGGGAGTAGGCAAAGACATGCATTTTAGGAGTCTACCTTCCTGGAGAGCTGGGAAACAAGTTAACTACGTGGATAAAATAATGTCTTCAGTTACGGAGACTCCAGTGATATCAGTTCTTTTGCAGTCGCTACTCAGCTGCCCTGGGTACTGTAGGGCAGAGCCTGACCTCTGTCCTATTTTGGAGATGAGGGTCCTGAGGCCTTTTGAGGGAACTGAGGCCGGTCCCTGGCGTCCACCACTGATGGGATGTCTCCAAGGGTAATAATAAAAGATATTCGTTGATTGGCATTGGCTGTGTTTCAGACATTGTGTTAAAAGACGGGTGTGTTATATTTACTATTCACACTATCTTTAAGAGATACTATCTTCATTTAATTTTTAAATTTCTTTTGTGGTGCTCAGGGTCTAAACCAAGGCCTCACACATACTTGGCAAGGGCACAACTAAGGTTCCCCAGCCCATCTTTGTTACACAGTTGAGGTCAATAATAATTTTTTTGTGTGTCTGGTACTGGGGATTGAACTACTGGACCTTAATCTTGCCAAGCAGGGGGCCAGGGAGATGGCTCAGTGGAATAAGTGCTTCCCTGGCAAGCACAAGGGTCTGATTTCCATCCCTGGTTCCACCAAAAAAAAAAAAAAAAAAAATCTTGCCAAGCAGGCGCTTATGCCGCCGAGCTATCTCCAGCCAGAGTCAAAGACTTGAAGCAGTGAAGTAAGTGATTTACTTTATGCTGCCTGGCAAGTGTCTGAACCCAGGCTCTCCCTCTGTCTCCCCATTACTTAATATTCCAGGGCCTTTTCATTGATCCACATCCTCAGCCTTTTTAAAAAATTTTTAAAATTTTGAGGTAGGGTTTGGCTAACTTCTCCAGCCTGAGTTTGAACTTATACTTGTGATCTTCCTCCCTCAGCGTCCCAGAGTGATGAGGTTACAGGCATTCACCATCACACCCTGCCAGAGTCTGGGCTTTTAATCTGTATGCTATGAATTTTTTCCTGAGGTCGAGAGTTGGCATGTTGCATACAGATGTTCTTTTGTTGTGTTCGAAGTACCTAGTGTGGTTTCTGGCACATAGAGGTGCGTTGTGCCTTTCAGATAAATGTTTTTAATTAAACTTTAATTTTTACTCCTAACCATCCCTTTATGTAGAAGACAGTGGTTTATCCATTTTACAGTTGAGCCATTTATGAAAGATGAGATGTCTTCTCCAGCATCACACAGCTCTTTTGGTGGCATCTCCTTCCTTCTCATAGGACTTAGGATGGCACTTTGAATTGAGTAAATAGGTCATGGGTTCAATCCCCAGCATGGAAGGAAAAAAAAGAAAAAAGAGGAGAGATGCCTAGGGAAACAGGAAGGCCTTCGTTTTGGTGGCTGAAACTGGTCACTGAGCCCTGGGAGGGTGAGGTTTATGTGATAGTCCTTGGTCTTCCACTGAGACCAAGCAGTGGGACTGCTGTTGAGGAGGAAGTGTGAGTGGTAGTGTTACTGTAAGAACTAGGCTCTGTTTTGACAGTCTAGAAGAGCCAATTAATTGATTGAGTCCGTGGGTGTGTGTTTGTTGTGTACCCAGAGGATGCTTAATCCCATATACTGTATTTATTAGCTGCAGTTTGTGGAGCACATGGGACCAGGTTTAACGTACTGCTAATGTAAGATTTTAAAATTGCGTGATAATGAAAGGCCATTAATGTTTTCTGAGCTGGGGCGTGGTCAGGAGGCACACGTGGCTTTACTAGCTGCTTGCATTTTATGATAGCATGACACACACAATACCTGATACAAATATGCATGTCACCAGTGTAGATTACAGGTGCTCAGCCTGAGAGTATTTTTTGTTTCTCCTTCATATCTAATAGTGTCCTGCATTAGAATGTTTGCATTTCATTTATTTGTTCATTCAGGGATTTTTAACTTGATCTGATTTGCGATTCGGAAATTCCTTATGGCTGTGTAAGAACAGATTAAAGATGGGTGTGGTGGTGCATGTTTATAATCCAAGCACTCAGGAGGCAGAGGCATGAGGTTCATCAAGTTTTAGGCTACCTGGGCTACAAAGTGAGGCCATCTCTAAAAACCAACAACCAGATCGAGACGCAGTTGAGGACTTGCAGTGGATCTTCATGAGAGACAGTGGTCTAGGGCACTGGAATCCAATTGGATGAATGAGATGAGATCTCTGCCCTGCACTGTGTTTAATACTCGTTATGTTTGATGAAATGTCAAGTATTTTGTATACCTTATCTCTTTTTTTTTTTTTTTTACCCCGTACTGGGAATCAAACTCAGGATCTCATGCTTGCCAGGCAGGCACTACATCAGAGCTAAATCTCCAGCTCAGTATACCTTATTTCATTTAAATCTTTCCATGATCCTCTTTAGAGAGTTTGTGTTAACTGACATACATTATTACATAAATTATTAACTAACATACATTGATTTTAGTAACTTGGCTAAGGTCACACAGCTAATGAGAGATGGACTCACTTCCAAACCCAGGTCCCCTGGTTTGAAATTGCGGTTGAGTGGGTTACTTCTTACCTCAAATCTCATCTGGGATGGATTCAGAAATGAAGACATAATGTTTTCCAGTGTGGCAGTTCTAATCGTAGCAGTTTAAATCAATTGCTCTCAAAATGAGTTAATTTTCCAGTGGAGTCAGGAACTAACTGGTTTAGATCGCTCTCTCTTGTCTCTCTGTCTGTCTCTGTCTCTGTCTCTCTGTCTCTGTCTGTCTCTCTGTCTCTGTCTGTCTCTCTCTCTCTGGCAGGCACTTGTGCAGCTGGGCTATATCCCCAGCTTGTGTTGATCAGTTGATTTGGGGCCTGTAAGAATGTTGACGGTTTGCTTTCTGAAAACTTTACACAGATACCTTTTTCTCTTCAACACTGTCTTGACAGCGTAAAGACAAGTAGCATTTACTTAATGTTTATTATGTGCTAACATTGCATCAAGTGCTGTGTGGTCTGTTGAGGGGCACAGACCTGGCAAGCCGTTCACTGCTGTAGTCCTTGGACTTCTGTGCTGATCAGAAGGGGTTGGACGAGTGCATGTGTGTCTGTTCTGGCAGCTTTGTGTAGGAGATGGATGTGGTCAGACCAACTGGTACAGTAGTCATCAAGTGAAGGGAATGAAGCATCACAGAAGACCAAAGAGTGGGGATCTCATGGTTGTTTCACATTGCTGAGTCCCACCATTGATCCTTTTGGCATCGTTGACATCCCATGAAAGGAACAAAATTGAAGTGTCAAGGACACTATAAAACCTGTTCTTATAGTGTGTCCTTATGGTGCACTCCGATCTGGATTAGCCTGCCTTTATTATCTATTGCCTTTTCTCCCTCCTTTCGGTACTGGCAATTAGGATGATCTTTTTCAGATTTTTTTTTTTTTTTTTCCCCTTGCAGAACCAGGGATTGAACTCAGGCCCTTGCGCTTGCCAGGGAAGCGCTTATTCCACTGAGCCATCTCCCCGGCCCTTCTTTTTCAGATTTTAATGAGAATAAGACTCTGGCTCACCTAAAACTACAATGGATTTTTTTTTTTTTTTTCTTGAGACAGGGACTCATGTAGTTTGGGCTAGCCCTGAACTTAGTATATATCCCTGGCTGGCCTGGAACTCAGTGATCCTCCTGCTTCAGCCTCCTGAGTGCTTTTCTAGTTTAATTTTATGTTATCAGTCTCATTAAGATAGGGCCTAAATTTAGGCTTGTGTTTGGCTGTTTATTTGAGTCAGCTTTTATGCATGGAAGTCAAAATTTAAGTTGGGGTGCTAGTGTCTAGGAAGAAAGCAAAACTGAAAAATTGTTTCTGGCAGCTTTGCTCGGGAAATGAGGAAACTCCAGCTCATTTACATGCCCATTATCACACCAGCCTTTCTCTTTTTTTCTTGAATGTTGTAGAAGATGGCAGTGAACGTATATTCAACGTCAGTCACCAGTGATAATCTAAGTCGACATGACATGCTGGCCTGGATCAATGAGTCTCTGCAGTTGAATCTGACAAAGATTGAACAGTTGTGCTCAGGTAAGAGAGGAATACTAGATCACTTTTCTTAGAAAGTGTAAAAGTCCTTTGGAAATGTACAGACCTGTATGTTGACTGCAGAGCCACAGAGGTTGCCTTTTCCTCTCAACTCTGCTCTGCTTCCTTTTCTAAGAGAAACTGTTTAAGAAGTGCTTGAGCCTTCTGACCTGTGTGCCTGCTCTCTTTTATTGCAGAGTTCTAATATGGGATTAATAATGTCCCCTAAGTTATTGAGCTCTGATTGGATCTGCAATCTCCCAAAGAAGTGGGTACGAAGACTAAACAAAAGAGACAAGTGGTATGATTTCAGGGCTCTGGGAGGATCAAAACCCTCTCACAGTTTGAGATTCTCTGGGGGCTTAGACCAGGACCTCCTCTCTCTCTTCTAGTTTTCAGAATGAAAGAGGGGATTACTCAAGAAGGGCGGGAACTGCTCAAGGACCTCTCCAAGTAGGGTATTATGTTAATTTAAGAGGGCTTTGTTAACTCCAGGAAGGTCTCCATCCAAGAGTGAGATCCTTGAGGCTATCGTCTTACTAGTTGAGCTTGGAGCCAGGTGTCCTCAGCTGTGGCCTTTTCTTGTCCTTTGAGGCTTCACGGTTTCACCTGCCGTTTAAAGCCTCAGTGGAGAACAGTGAGTCACAGAGGTTCACTTACTATGAGTCTGGTACCCGACTAGACAAGGGGCTTAGGCCTTGGACAGACTCACAGGTAAGCATGGGAAAAAGCCAATTCATTAATTTAAGTCCTGATCAGAGCTGCTTTGTAATGGTCTCCATTACTCCAAGTTCTTTTTTTTCTTTTTTTTTTTTTTCCGGAACCAGGGATTAAACTCAGGCCCTTGCACTTGCCCGGCAAGCGCTTATTCTACTGAGCTATCTCCCCGGCCCCTATGTTCTGCGTTTGTATCTGGCACATCCAGATTTCAAACATTTTGCTTGAGCATAATAATCATAACTACTGTTCTAGTTTGTGTGTGTGTGTGTGCGCGCGCACGCATGAGAGAGAGAGACACACACACACAGACAAAGAGACAGAGGGAGAGAGAAACAGGGTCTCCCTTTGTAGTTCAGTCAGGGCTTGAGCTTACTTTGTAGCCCAGGCTGGTCTGGAACTTGCAGTGATCCTCCTGTCTCAGCCTCCTGAATGCTGCGATTATAAGTGTGCACCACCATGCCCAACTCAAGAACATCTGGGGGGTTTTGGTATGGGGGTTGAACTCAGCCATACAGGCACTAAAGCCGCTGAGCTCTCTCCCCAGTCCTTCTGGTTTTAACATTTATTTTTGTGGTGCTGGGGATTGAACCCAGGACCTCATGCATACTAAGTAACGTCTTCATTGTCAAACTATACCAATCCTTTAGTTTTTTATTAGCTCATCAGTGGCTGTTTTTATTCCTAAGAAGTTTTAAGACCATAGCAAGCAAATGCTATTTCAGCCACAATTTTATTGAACTAGGTTGACAGAGGCAGTAATTTAAAATAAGAACAAAGGATATAGCATGTTCTGTTTCTGTACATGTGTTTTTTTGTGGGGGGTAATGCTTGGGATTTAAGACTTGGACGTGTGTTATTTGTATAACATGTAGAAAATTGGTAGGAAAAAATAATGCGTATAATTCCCTTATTCAAAGAGAGCCACTTTTGGGATGTTTTTCTGTCACCTTTCAACGATTCTTGACCTTTTTCATTTAATGCTAAATGATTGGCATTCCTCAGCATCATTTAATGCATTCCAAAAATATATTTATATATTTAGACAGGCTCTTTTTTAAATTTTTATTTATTTATTTATTTATTTATTTATTTATTTTTTCAGGCTCTTGCTATATAGTAGGTAAACCTTTTAGCACTTTCAGTGATACAAACAGCCTGCTGCAGCTTGTGTGCCATAGGTTTGCCATGACTGCTATACAGCCTTACGAACTCTTGATCCTCCTGCCTCAGCCTTCAGAGTGTTGGGATTACAGGTGTAAGCCACCATGCCCAGCTGGAAATACTTATTTTGAATTGACACATACTCCTTTTTCTTCTCTCTCTCTTTCTCTCCCTTTTTTTTTTGGCAGGGGCAGTGTTGGGGATTAAACTCAGCACCTTGTGCATGCTAGGCAAGTGCTGTACCACTTAGTTATCCTCACCTTGCTACATACTCTTTTTCTGTGGATTTGCTGGAGTTTGATTTCATTCCCATCTTTGTTGACATTTAGGTTAGGTTGTTGCTAATTTTTTGTTATTTATGATGGCTAGATTGAATGTCTTTTTAAATTTTTTTTTATTTTAAAGAGGGTTCAGGGGCCAGGGAGATGGCTCAGTAGAATAAGCGCTTGCCTGGCAAGCGCAGGGGTCTGAGTTCAATCCCCGGTTCCGCAAGCCAAAAAAAAAAAAAAAAAAAGAAGGTTCAACGTCTTTTAATAAATATTGTGTGTGTGGGGGACCTGCCCTTTAGCTCAGTTCTTTAAGTGGCTGCTTCAACAAAGCAGTCAGGCTCAGGTTGCTGTGGTTCGATCCCTACAACTCAAGCCAGCCAAACCTGCCTTGAAGGCATTCGGAGCAAAATAAATAAATAAATAAATATTGTGGGGTGTGGTGGTGCATACAGAGGCAGGAGGACCATTGCAAGTTTGAGATCAGCCTGGGCTATAAAGGAAGTTCGAGGCCAGCCTCAACTGCATAGTGAGACCCTGTCTCAAAGAACAAAAATAAACAATCCTCCTGCCTCAGCCACCCAAGTGCTGGCATTACATGTGTGCAACTGTGCACAGAATTTTCTGGCATATTCCTGATGTCATCTCTTATCTGTGCAAGAAGTATTTTTTTTCCTTTGCTGGCTTAGGCTACCTTAAAGGCGGGTCTGGGTAGGCATGTGGACCTAGGGGTGGAACTGCAGTCCCCTGTGGCTGACTGGGTTTGCCCACACAGGTGCTTAAACAACTGAGTTAACCTGAAAGTCCCCAAAAGTTCAGAAGGATTTTTTTTTTGGTCTGGCTGAGGCTGACTTAAGGGTGGGTCTGGTAAGCCATGTGGAGCTGGGGATCAAACTGCGATCCCCTGCGCCTGAGTTTGCCCTTGCAGGCGCTTAAACAACTGAGCTAACCCACAAGACCCCTATTATCTGTGTAAGATACAGTTTTAAAAACCTGACGTGTTTTTTGCCAAGTCAGAATTCAGGAACAGGAAAGACAAAAGTCTACAAAGCATATACTGAAAATGCCTTTATAAGAAATAATTACCAAGAAACTAAAATTCAGGCTGGGGGTATAGCTTAGCAGTACAGTGCCTGCCTGGCAAATTGGATTCCTGGTACCAAGAAAAAGGAGAGAACCTAAAGTTCATACCCTTTGATCTAACATTTCTGCTCCTAGAAATCACTGAGGAAAATACTTGGGTTTATTTTGGCAGAACCAGGGATTGAACTCAGACCCTTGTGCTTGCCAGGGAGGCACTTACTGAACTAAGCCATCTGCCCAGCCCTGTTTTTGTCTTTTTGGGATAGGGTCTCATGCAGTTGAGGCTGGTCTTGAACTTACTGCCTGTGAAGTGGCCGAGTCCTGTAGCATCACTGGCTTCTGGCCCCTCAGCATTGAACTTGCCTTAGTGTCACTCTGGTTGTGAGACAAAGTGAGAATAATTTTCAGGAATAAGAGTTGGCAGGTTGTTTAAAGATTCTTTTTTTTTTGTTTTGTTTTGTTTTTTGTTTTTTCTGGAACCAGGGATTGAACTCAGGCCCTTGCGCTTGCCAGGGAAGCACTATTCCACTGAGCTGTGAGCCGTCTCCCTGGCCCCTAAAGATTCATTCTTAGTTCTGCAACCTCCTTACTTTGGAGGGCAAAACATCAATTTTTTTTTTTTAATAAATTTGGTACAGAGCATCACTATGCAGCTTGGGCTTGTCGTGATCCTCCTGTTTTCAGCCTCCTCAGTGCTGGGATTACAGGCGTGTGCTGCCACCTCTGGTATCAGTGGCCAACTTAGTGCACTTGGGGGCACGGCTGGTGTGGCACGTGGTGTCAGGAATCGAACCTCGGTCCTTGTGCTTGCCTAGGCAGATGCTTAGTCTGCTGAGCTATCTCAACAGCCCTTAAATATTTTTGAAAGATAGAAAAATAAATGATCAAAAAAAAAAAAAAATCTGAGAGGCCGGGGAGATGGCTCAGTGGAGTAAGTGCTTCCCTGGCAAGTACAAGGACCTGAGTTCAATCTCTGGTTCTGCCAAAAAAAAAAGCAAAAAAAAAAACTGTAAAAAAAAAAAAAAAAAAAAAAAATCTAGCTTCTAGGGGGGTGGGGAGAAAAAAAAATCTGATCACAGACTGGTTTGATGTGGGATTCCTTTTGTCAAAAAGAGCCCATGACTGCTTTTTGCCAGCTATTTCTCTTGTCCATCCTGTTCCATTCCATATCCAGGCCCCTCTGTGTTCTCTCAAGACCCAAGCACAGTGCTTCAGGTACATAGAAGAACTCTTGCCTTCTCTTTTCCTTGTCCTTTTCTTGAAGGTGTCATACTTACTGTGCCACAGAGAATAGAGGTGTTCTGGCTCTCCCTCCCCCCCGGTTCTTGTGGAGTCTTGTATAGCTCTTGAATTCACGAAAGACACCTTGTCATTCTTACTTCCATTTTACTGTTAATGGTCTGACCCCCTGTTGTGGGAATGGTACCGTGCTCTTAAGTCAGACCTCTCTTTATCTGCCTGATATTTTTGTCTGGAATCTCTCTCCCCATCTCATAACCTAAATTCTAGCTCTGTTTTCCTCTCAGGCATTTCCCGTATTCCCTTTGGGGCTGTGATTCCACCTATCTCCTGGTATCTCAGGCCTGAGAAACATTTTTTGAGGCTACATTATAAGATTCTTTTTTTTTTTTTTTAAAACATTTATTTATTTATTTATTGTGTGTGTGTGTGTGTGTGGCCAGCTCAGCCCACCAGGGGGCGGGGCTGGCTGGCATGTGGTGCTGGGGGATTGAACCGTGGTCCTTGTGCTTTGCCAAGCTTGTTCCAAGTAGGTGCTTTAGACCACTGAGCCATCTCGCCAGCCCCCCATCATAAGATTCTGTTTGTCTTCTGAACTGAAAAGTGGTCTTTTTAAAAAAAATATTTATTTGGTACAGGGTATTGCTATGCAGCTCAGACTCTTAGTGATCCTTCTGTCTCAGTCTTCTCAGTTCTGGGATTATAGGCATGTGCTACCTCGTCTGGTTTTGGTGGCTGACGCGGTGGCACCCTTGAACCCAGGTCCTTGTGTTTGCCAGGCAGGCGCTTAGACCATCAAGCTATCTCCCAGCTGAGTGCTCCTGTCTTATTCCTGCTGTGTTGTCAGCCTTTGCTGGCAGAGATCAAGGAAGGCCAGAGGGGCTGGGGAGATGGCTCAGTAGAATAAGCGCTTCCTGGCAAGCACAAGGGCCTGAGTTCAATCCCTGGTTTCTCAAAAAAGCCCCCCCCAAAACCCAAAACCACAAAAAAACCTAATACGTGTGTTTTGGTCTTTTTTTTTTTTTTTTTTTTGCGGAACGGGGGATTGAACTCAGACCCTTGTGCTTACCAGGGAAGGGCTTATTCCACTGAGCCATCTTCCCGGCCCTGTTTTGGTCTTTTTTTTAGACAATCGCTGAGTTGCTCAGTCTGAGCTGGCACTTGGCCTCAGCCTCCCAGAGTGCTGGGTTAATAGGTATATTACCACCATGTTCAGCTCAGCCTTGTTGGTTTTTAGTGGGTCTTTTTTAGTTTTTTTCCAGTGTTGAGTATTGAACCTGGGGCTTCACACAAGCTAAGCAAGTGCTGGGCTACTGAACTATCTCTCAGCCCTTTTAGTAGGTCTAGATGTTTTTCTTTGTATATTAATCCCATTTCATCCAACAAGCATATTTTGGCCACACCGCTAATCTAGAAAGTAGTGCTTCTTGACTGAACTGAGGGAAGGCTTCTAATGATGGGGGAAAAAATTGAATGGGAATTGGGTATTTGGATGTGATCCTAAACATGTTCTCTCTTTCTGTTCTTCTTTTTTAGTAGAACTGGGGATTGAACTCGGGCCCTTTTGCACTTGCCAGGCACTTCTGAGCTATCTCCCCGGACCCTTTTTTGTCTTTTGAGACAGGGTCTCTGCCATGCAGTTCATGCTGGCCTTGAGTTCACTTTGTAGCCTTAGGCTTATTTCGAATTTACAACCATCCTCCTGTGTCACCCTCCAGGACCAACTCTGCACTTGTTCTCTTGCTTCTGTGGCATTGGATTACAGGTTTTTTTTGAGACAGTGTTGCATTATGTAGTGCAGGCTGCCTTAAAAAACATCCTATGTTGTCTAGGATGACCTCAAATTTGCAGCAGGATGCTCCTGTCTCAGTCAGCTTTAAAGAGTACCAGAATTAGAAGTGTATGCTACCATGCCTGGCCTGGGTACAGCTTTTGGTTCTGTCTGGGTGCTGAGATTGATTATAGGCTTTGTTTTTTTTTTTTTGGGTGGAACCAGGGATTGAATTCAGCCCCTTGTACTTGCCAGGCAAGCGCTTATTCTACTGGGTTATCTCCCCGGCCCCTGTAAACATTTTTCTTTTAAAAAAATTGGAGAGGTTTACTGAGAATTGAACTTAGCACTTCGTGTTTGTCAGGCAGGTGCCATGCCACTGAGCTATATCCTTAGCCTTTAAATTTGTTTTTTGGGATAGGGTTTCACTATGTAGTTCAGGCTGCCTCACCTTCCCAAGCTGTGGGCTTACAGGTGTACTACCACACCCGGCTAAGCCTTCACAATCTGAAGGTGATACAATGAATGTTACCATGCTCATTCATGTACCTTTGTTCTCTTTACATCTGCTTCTAAAGTCATAGTGACCGTCTTTGTGCTGGACCTAGCAGGGAGTATTTTGGCCTGATTCAAAATTGAAAATACATTTTGTGGTGCTTCTGTGTCCAGCTGGACACATACTTTTTTTTTTTTTTAACATTTATTTATTCGTGTGTGTGTGTGTGTGTGTGTGTGGCCAGCTCAGCCCACCTGGGGGCGGGGCTAGCTGGCATGTGGTGCTGGGGGATCAAACCGCGGTCTCTGTGCTTTGCCAAGCTTGTTCCAAGTAGGTGCTTTAGACCACTGAGCCATCTTACCAGCCCAGGACACTTACTGTTTAGCGCTGGTTTCCTTGCCATCTTCCCAGCATACTCCTTTGGTGAAGTAGCCTGAAGGATAGCAAGTGTACAGCGAAGCCTCCTTCGAATAAGGAGAGGTGAGGTTGGTAGACATGATATTCCTGGAAAGTTTAAGCACCTCTGAATGATTTTGGGGGTTGGATAAAAAGGACAAGCAGAGGAAAAAATGAAATTGGGAGTAAATAAGATGGAGTATGCATAGTTATTATAGTACTATTAATTTATTTAATGTATTTGGTGCAGGGTCTCACTATGCAGCTCAGACTCATAGTGATCCTTCTGTTTTCAGCCTCCCCAACATGGGATTACAGGTGTGGGCCACCACACCCAGATTTGGTCCCAGGCTCAGTGCATCCAGTACTTGTTAAAATAAAAAAAATGTAAAGCTAGGTGTAGTGGTACATGCCTGTAATCCCAGCACTTGGGAGGCTGAGGCAGGAATATTACTGAGTTTGAGACTAGCCTTTGCTATATAGTGAGTTCAAAGCCGTATAACTTACATTTTTATTTATTTATTTTTTAAAGTATTTATTTTTATTTTTATTTTTATTTTTTGGTGGAACCAAGGATTGAACTCAGGCCCTTGCGCTTGCCTAGCAAGCACTTATTCTACTGAGCCATCTCCCCAGCCCCACATTTTTATTTTTATTTATTTTTTAAAAATATTTTCATTTGTGTGTGTGTGTGTGTGTGTGTGTGTGTGGCCAGCTCAGCCCACCAGGGGACGGGGCTGGCTGGCATGTGGTGCCGGGGGATTGAACCGCGGTCCCTGTGCTTTGCTAAGCTTGTTCTAAGTAGGTGCTTCAGACCACTGAGCCATCTCACCAGCCCCACATTTTTATTTATTTATTTATTTATTTTGCATTTTTATTTTTGAGACAGGGTCATTCCTATGCAATTCAGGCTGGCTACAAACTCACTACATAGTTGAGGCTGACCTAAGTTTCCAGTAATCTTCCTGCCTCAGTCTCCTCTGAGTGCTGGGATTACAAGCGTGCACTACCATGTCCAGTTTATATTTTGTTAATGGAGGAATATAAAATGTTTTCAACTTGGTTTATAAAAATTAGGTGCTTTTCTTTTGGCAGTGCTGGGGTTGTGACCCAGGGCTTTGTTGACATGATAGGTATGCATCATAACACTTAGGTTAAGTGGATCTCAGGGAAATTTTTTTTTCTTTTGCATTTGAGAAAAAATTGACCGTGCTTCTTTAACAGTTGCATTCAGTAACCTTGTATTTGTTGTATTTTTGTGTGGTTATTGTTCATTCAGGGGCTGCCTATTGTCAGTTTATGGACATGCTCTTCCCTGGCTCCATTGCCTTGAAGAAAGTGAAATTCCAAGCTAAGCTAGAACATGAATATATCCAGAACTTCAAAATACTACAAGCAGGCTTTAAAAGGATGGGTGTTGATAAAGTAAGTCAATTTTATTCCTTCATTTAGGTTATGGTTTTTCAGCTAATGATGACTACTAAGAACACCATGATGTTAATATTCTCCTTTCCTCATTTATGTGGCTCTGTTTTCTCTAGTTAATGTATAATTTATTCAGAGCAGTCTTATTCTCCTACATCTTGTTCTAAATCTTTTTTTTTTTTTTTTTGTGGAACCGGGGATTGAACTCAGACCCTTGCGCTTGCCAGGCAAGCGCTTATTCTACCGAGCCATCTCCCCGGCCCCCTAAATCTTTTTTTTGAAGACAGGATCTGGCTGTATATTCCAGGCTGTCCTTGAACTCACAGTATTGCTCCTGCCTCAGCCTCTGATTTTTTTTTTTTTTTTTTGCGGAACCAGGGGTTGAACTCAGGCCCTTGTGCTTGCCAGGGAAGCACTTATTCCACTGAGCCATCTCCCTGGCCCCTCTCAGCCTCTGATTGCTGGGAGTACATGCATGTAGGACCATGCCTGGCTACCTTTATATCCTTTCTGTGATTTTAGTATCTAATTGGAGGATTCAATATATAAATCTGAACCAGTGATTTATTTCTTTTAGCAGTGATTTATTTCTTTTAGCAGTAGTGTTTAATCTCTACCAGTCTAGATCTGATTTTCTGTTTTCTTTTTTTGTGATACCAGGGATTGAACTCAGGACCCTGCACTTACTCTACTGAGCTATCTCACTGGGCCTAATTTTCTTAATTTTTGCAACGTATATTGTATATTAATGTGTGTGTGTGTATATTTTTGAGGGCTTTTTTTGAGACAAGGTTTCATTATGTAGTTCAGGCTGTCCTTGAGCTCACTTTGTAGCCCAGGCTGGCCTGGAACTTAGTGATTGTCCTGCCTCAGCCTCTCATGTGCTGGGATTACTGGTGTGTACCATCATTCCCAGCCCTAATTATCTAAGCAAATACTCTAGAAATACTTGCTTTTTAAGGGGGGGGGAATATAAATATA